ATTGCGACTCTCCCACGGCGGGAACAGTTCACCGATCCAGAGTGAGGTTATGGATTGTCGGATCCCCTAGTTCAGATAACGGAGATAACGTATGCTATCGGGTGCGTATTGACTGTTGTGATTCCTGTATTTCCGGCGTGTGGTTTGTGGGCGGACGCTGGCAATCGGTCCCGCGTGGCCTGATATCTGCCCTATCCCATCGGCCGTGCTTGCACCATGCTGTTGAAGGCCCCGTCAGGCGTCAGTCACCGGCTGGGCACTACTGCTGATCAGAGCCGGGCAACAAAATAAAGGTTACGTTATGGAACATGCCAGTGAGTTTGTGAGTCAGGAGATTTTGTGATAGCGAACCCTGGTGCTCGGTCCCGCATGGCCTGCTGGTGTCTTTTGTCTGCCCGATCCCGTCGACCGTGCCAACAACCGTCTGTAGACAGTAGTCACTGGAAGACAGTCACACACACACGCCAGCCCCCCCCCCCTCGACGAAAAGTGCGTGGCTACAGCCTGCAGCCATCAGTAAGCCTTGAAAATTTTCGGCGCATGAAGCATGGCTTGGTAAAATAATTTCGGCGCATAAACCCTTGCGCCGAAATTTCGGCGCATCACCTCCGCCGAGAACTTCAGCGTAGTGGAGGCATTTTTTCCAGTCGGGGACTGCTGAACAATTAACAAAATGATCCCCTCTAAATATTTGAAGACCACTGCATCGAAATTCTCGCCAAATTAACGAGCTAGAGCCTCGTCAAATATGCTATGTAAACCGGGTTCAGGTGAGGCCTCAGCCGAAATGGACCATAAAACATGTTGATGTGTCACGTGACTGATTCATAATATATGATTTCCGTGACCTGTGATGACCCAACCCTGACCTGAAAATCAAAGTACAAATTTGGTACCCTTAGGGTATCTAAAGCATCTATTCACAAGTGCTTAAACTAAAAATGAGCCTTATCTGACTTGTAAGCTGGCGGCCAGAGCCCAAAATGTGAACAAGCCAAACATCAATCATGTTTACTTTGCCCTGACCTGTGACGTCATCGGTGACCTCGAGGTCCATAAAATTAGGGTTCACTCGACACTTTTTCCGGGGCTATCAAGCGCCATTTGAATTTTGAAAATCGGCCCAGTAGTTTCGGGGTTAGGAGGGTGCTATGAAATATGAAACATTATTATGTCAATGAAGATAATGTGATGTATTAGATGTTTGGTGCAGTATAGGGAACATCACTTACTTACTTACTTACTTACTTAAGATGCACGGAAAATTTTGAGAGGCCCAAGGCCTGTAGTGTCCGCTCCAGTCGAGTTCGTGTTTGACAGTGTTACTGTTCGTATGGTAGGGGCGGGGTGAAGTGGAGGTGTCTCCAGTGAGTGTCGAGCCCAAGGCTATATATATAGTCGAGCCGGTTCTTGAACGAGTTTAGAGAGTCGGCGTCTACGACGGATGATGGTAGGCTGTTCCAGTCGTTAATGACTCTGACTGCGAACGCGTTTCGACGGATGCGGGTGACGGCATGGGGCTTCGCAAGACGCCAGGAGTGTCCTCTTGTATCTCTGGTCGTTACTCGGTTGAAGAGCTCCTCCGGATTCAGGTCCAGTCTCCCATGCAGCACATTGTAGACAGCGATCATGTCGCCGCGTCGACGTCGGTAGTGGAGGGAAGGCAGCTTCATAGACTTCAGTCTTTCCTGGTACGGTAGGTGACGTACTTCCTGGACCAGCTTGGTCGCTCGGCGCTGGACTCGTTCGATGAGGAGCTGATCCGCTCGATTGAATGGCCCCCAGACAATGTTACCGTACTCCAGGAGCGGTCGCACAAGCGTCTTGAACAGGATTGGCAGGGTCATCTTGTCCAGCAGGCTGAATGACCGTCTTATCACGGCCATCACTCGAGATGCCTTGTTGACCGCTGCCGCTGCTTGCCTCCTGAACTTCAGCTCCGCGTCAACAATCACTCCTAGGTCCTTTTCCTCTGTCGCCGTCTGCAGGACTTCACCGTTCAAAAGGTAGTCGTGCCGGTGGACGTGACGACCGACGTGGAGGACCCTGCACTTCATGTCGTTAAATTGCAGTTGCCAATCCTCACCCCACTGTGTCACAGCGTCCAGGTTCGCTTGGAGAGCCCGCGCGTCCTCATGGTCACAGACGACCTGGTACAATTTGCTGTCGTCGGCAAAGACCTTGACACCGCAGCTTAGGACATTTGGCAGGTCGTTAACATATATGACAAACAATGTAGGTGCCAACACAGATCCTTGCGGGACTCCACTTGGGACTGAGGTCCATTCCGAGCAGGAACTGCCGATCGTAACCCGCTGCTTTCGCCCCGTCAGGAAGGCCTCTATCCATCGTAGCAGCTTCCCACGGATTCCATGTGCAGCCACCTTGTGGTGAAGCCTGCGGATTGATACAGTGTTGAAGGCCTTGGCCAGGTCAAGATAAATGATGTCCATGGGGTCACCACGTTCTGCAGCACGGCTCCAGTCCTCTGCTGAAAGTAGCAGTTGCGTTACGCAGGACCTGCCCGGCCGGAATCCATGCTGGGCTTCAGTAATCAGGCCCTCTGCCTGCAGGTGCTCCATCAGCCTGTCCCTGATGATGGCTTCCAGCACCTTGCAGGGCACTGGCGTCAGGCTGACTGGTCGGTAATTGCTGGGGTCGTCCTTGCTGCCCTTCTTGTAAATGGGGACCACGTTGGCCGACGTCCAGTCCTCTGGAAGGATCCCTGTATCGAGCGACTCCCGGTACATGGCTGCTAGTTGAGCTGATATTGAGTCTCTCGTCTCGTGGAGTACCCTTGGATGAATGCTGTCAGGTCCAGCGGCTGAGGAGGTCTTGATCTGGGCGAGCTTCTGTTTTACCAGGTCCTCTGAGATGTCAACGTCCTCTACTACTGGTCCCCTGTACGCGTCCCCGGCGTGCGGCATCGGCCGAAGGTCATCCTCGATGCAGACCGAGCTGAAGAATGCGTTCAGCACCGCGGTCTTCTCTTCGTCGTTTACTGTAAGCTGACCCGAGTCTGTGCGGAGGTTCTCAACGCCGGCCCTGCTCTTGGTTCTTGAGGCCAAGTACCGCCAGAACGCCTTTGGGTTTGCCTTCAGGTCAGCCGCCAGCTTCCTCTCCAGTTCCTTCCTTAGATTGCGGGTGAGCCGTCTCAGGTCGTTGCTACATCGCTTGTAGCGTGCGAGGCAGATGGATCTCGGTTGTACCATGGATTGGGTGTACTGGATCCACAACTTCCGCTTCAGCTTTTTCAATCGCATAGCTTCCCTGTCCATATAGATATTGCGTCTCTTATTAGTTGGGCAAGACCTGGGGATACACTGAGTCGTCAGAAGATCCAACGTCCTTTTGAAGTACTCGTATCTGGTGCGCGGGTCCGGAGGATCGGGCACTTCCCAGACAGTCTCCCTGATCCGATCATTCAGGAGCGCATAGTTCCCTTTGTTGAGGTTCAGCCGGGGCTCCCTTGGTTCTCTTCCCTGGTCATAGTGCACGGTCTCAAACCTCAGAACCACATGGTCGCTGTGTCCTATGGGTGGGTGGTAGACAAGGTTTTTGACTAGCCCCTCCTCGTTACTCAGGATAATGTCCAATCCGCTAGACCTGTTGCCTTCCCTGTATCGTGTGTCCCTGGTGACATGTTGTGTGAAGCCACAGTCTTGCAGCCCTTCCATAAATTGGTGTGTATGATGGCCCTCAGGGGCAGTGGAGTAGCTGTGAGTCCAGTCGATTTGGGGGTAGTTGATGTCCCCAGCAATCAACACTTGGGTGTTTCTTTCAGATGTGCAGCTAGTGATGAGCTCCAGTAACTCAGACGTAGAAGATGGTCCGTGGGCAGATGGGCTACGGTAAATACATCCAATGAGGAGGCGATTTGGGTTTCGCAGAGGGATCTCCAGCCACAGATGCTCGATTTGATTGCAGCCTGGGAAAGAGCGCTTGGTAGTCCTGATAGAAGTTTTGACGAATATGCCAATCCCTCTGTACCCACTGCTGCCAAGGTTCTCCTTTCCTGGATCGAAGTTCAAGTAAAGATTATATCCCAAAATAGCAAGGACTGCAGGTGAAATGGGGTGAATCTGTGCCTTTGGAATTATCTCTGTCAAGAAGATTATGTCTGGCTCATCGTTTACCAGGGCCATACAGAGGTCATCCCGTTTGTTAATAAATTGGTCTATGTTTGTGTAGAGGACCTTGAGTTTGCTTGACCTCTGCCTTCCTTCCTTATCTAGTCAATGCTGGTTGGGTGCCCCAGCGCCTGGCGCAATGGGCTCAGTGGAAGGTTCCGCTCTTGTCTGGGATGCTGCCAGCTGAGCGGTGTTAGTTGGCAGCCTGGTCTCAGTCCCATTCCTTGGGACTCCTGCATCTGGTCCGCTTGCTGGGAGATGTGTGCTCACAGGTCGGGAGTGACGTCTTTCAACTGGGACTGGGACAATCCTGCCTTGTCTAATGTGGATGTGCTCCTCCCCAGATGCTTTTCTCCTGGCCAGTTCTTGCCTCAGAGCGCGTGCTTTCTCTCGTTCTTGCCAGGTCAGGTCCGGGGTGATGTACACATTGCCCCACTCCACGGTTGTTCTTAGGGTGGCTGCTGACCTCAGGATGTTTGTTCTGTCTTCCATGGTGGCAAGGGTCACCAGCAGCAGTCTAGGCTTGTTCTCTGTCTTCTTTCCGATGCGGAATGAGTTTGTACATTTCACGACCAGCTTCATCCCCTCTTTTATCATGCTTACAAACTTCACCTCATCACTTTTCTTGTCTGGTTGGGCTGTGGTGACAAAATATTTTCTACATTTCCACGTATATAGAATATGAGATAAAAATACAAACCTCTAAATCGAACTCACTCAACCTCACACAAACCGATTTAACAAATAATATTTATAAATATAATACACAGCCAAAAATTTTCTTGTAAACACCAGAATTGTAACGGCTGCGTCAAAACTGAAAACTCTAATTGTTCCAGGAACTATACATATTAACAGGGCAAATCGACACTTTTCGTATAATTTTATCGGCATTATGCTTTGATTTGCATGCTTATTCTTCTATTATAAAAAAAAAATTTGCATCGTTTTTTTTGTTAAGTACTATTCTCACTTATTTTTCACTGCTGATAACCGTGTGTGTTTTGCGGAAGTGCAGTCACTTTTGTCCACACCGTCCACACATAATGCTCGCTGTTGTAATTCTGAGACGTTTCAAAGAGGTTATAGTTTATACATTCTTCACTTTTCTTCAATAATTTGGTGAGGTTGTAAGGTTGCGTGTATATTGATAACCATCTTCATGTAACCCACATTTGGTGGTGAAAAGCAATTAACCAGACATTGTTGAAAAATTCACAATAGTGGGCATTGAAGGTCATCAATTAAAAATTCTGAACACTTAATGAACTTTTTACCTTCCTAGGCAAGGGTACATATTTTTATTGCCCAGTGTACTGGTATGTCTGGTGAAGTTAAGCTTCTGTTCTTAGATGAGTTTTACCGTCCAGTGTCCACGGCCTGTGTGTTGGTACTCTTACCTGGTACTCTTACCTGGTGGGGCTCCTTCTGCTTCGCAGCCGGTAGTAAGGACTGGAGCAGGAGGAACCCGGATAGGATCAGGACACGCCAGTCACAGTCTCCCCACGATGATGTCCTGTAGATATGGCCAGATGACTGGAAAGTGTGTGTCCTCGTGGCATATGCCATTGGAAAACAACACTTATCGGTATGTTTGCACAAATATCGCGAGTCAGATGTAGTCGTACAATGTGTTACCTAGTGCCTGTGCGAGAAGTCGTTTGAAAGACGACAGATCTGAAGCGGCCACCACGGCCTCTGGCAAACTATTCCAGATAGCCACCCGACGATGCGAAAACGAGCGCTGCCGCACGTTCGAAACAGCACGTGCTACATGCAGCTTGAAGCAGTGACCACGAGTTCCACCTCGGGGAGGCTGATGGAAAATGTCCTCAGGGGTTATTGTGCTCTTCCCATGGAAAATCTTCCAGTACTGTATCAGATCGGCGCGAATTAGTCGGCCTTGCACAGAGAAAAGGTCAAGTTCCTTCAGCCTCTCCGCATAAGTCATGTCATGCATCCCTTCAATGTGTTTTGTCCATCTGCGCTGTACCCTTTCTAGTTTACGCACATCCTCAGCATATTCGGTGTACCACAGACAAGACGCATACTCAAGCACAGGCCTTACATGCGTCCTGAGAAGGAACAACATGAATGCGGGTGATCGACAAACTGTAGCCTTTTTAAAATTGTGACACAGTCCACCGGCCTTATGCACTACAGTGGCTATATGTAGATGAAATTTTAACGAATCATCGACCAACACTCCTAGGTCACGCTGCGAGTGATGGATCGGAAGTGGTGTACCGTCTAACGTGTACAACGGCTGAGATTGGCTACAGAACTTCCGGGAAAATCTCAACACCGCACACTTAGCCTTGTTCATGCGCAAGCCCCAGGACAGAGAGGTCTTATACAGCACGTCAATATCTTGTTGCAGTGTCGGATCTGTCTGGGGATACAACGACACAGAGTTGCGCGCAACAGAAGCATACAATTTAAGGTCATCGGCAAACATCTTAAAAGTACAGGAAAGCTTTGAGCACACAAAATTAATATATATCAAAAACAACAGCGGACCTAACACGGAACCCTGTGGAACACCACTGCACACGTCTCTGCTGCTGCTTAAGTTACCACCAACACACACCTGCATGACTCTATCTGTTAAGAATGAAGAAATCCAAGAGAGTAGGCATCCATCAATACCCAACAGCTGAAGTTTCCTAAGCAGTATTCTATGACACACCACATCGAACGCCTTGGAGTAATCAAACAGAACAAGATCAACGGTCTGACCTGCGTCAACTTTCGATGATACGTCGTCATAGACAAGTAGGAGCTGTTCCATCACCGATCTCTCGGGACGGAACCCAAACTGGTGCTCCGATATAATTCTATTTGAATCCAGGTACTCGTATACATGTTTGGCAATGACACGTTCTAGCACCTTACAACAGACAGGGGTAAGACTTACGGGTCTATAATTAAGGGGTTCATATCGCTTTCCCTTCTTAAACAGCGGTATTACATTAGACCTCTTCCAGGCGCTTGGAACGGTACCTTCCACAATCGATCGGTTAAAGATAACATGTAAAGGGTAAGTTAGGACATCACTACAATTTTTTAACACTAGCGGATGAATAAAATCAGGACCCATTGCAGAGTTTGTGTCAAGGGAGCGAAGATGTGACAGCACATCCTGCGCCGTAACTCGGATAGCGTCAATAGAACCGTCAAAGGTCTGATGAGGCTCTTGGGCAGTGGGGACCTCTTTCATAAACACAGAGGCAAAAGAAGAGGCCAGTATTTCACCCATGCTAATGGGTCCGAAGTCAGTTGTCCCGTATCTAACCTTAAAGGCCCTACAGCAACCGGCGCAACCTTCTTAGATCTGACGTAAGAGTGCAAGAGTTTTGGACACTCACTGAACCTCTGTATCATAGATTGCTCGTATGACGCCTGAGACATCACATCAAAGTTACGAACTTTCTTGTTTATAGTAGAAAAATGAACAAAGGCATCGCGGGCCGCAGCGGATGTCCGGCCGCTATGCAGCCTGACTCTTTTATATGTCAGCCAAGCCTCGTGTCGCCTGCTTAGTAAACTCCTAGGTGGATTTTTTGACCAGGGTGGCTTGCCACCCGAGCTCCTGCTTTTAGGAGGCACATGATCTAACACTTTGGGATGTGCACGAAGTTAGCATGGCATGTAGGTAGGTATACCAGTAGGCGGTAGTAGTAAAGCAGGTGTCACACTTGTTTCTTGCAACCAAGGAGAGGTGCTGTAGGTTGTTAGGTTGTAGATGTTTGGTTTTAGGTGGTAGGTTTTAGGTTGTAGGTACAAGGTAAGGATAGGTACATCATTTGCATTAGTTTTATTAGAAAGTATCTATCTATGGGTATATCTCCTCTCCTTGGTTTGGTTTCAAAAAGCAAGTTTGACACCTGCTTTACAAGTACCAGTATACCTACCTACCTTGACCTCTGAATGCCTCAGTTTTACAGTGATCTTGAACTGGTTGAGTGTGGGTTCCAGCAAGCAGCATTGACAATTTCTGATAGCAGCCAAACTGCAAAGTGTGGCATGTTGCATGTTCATGCCCTAGGCTAGATGCCCACTGCCCAGCACCATGGAAATTGGAATGCACACTTGGTGCAGTATAAAAGCAAGCGTGTATCAGTAATTACTCAACTAGCAAACAATGTTTAAACTTTAAAGTGGTAGCCTGCATGCCCAATAAAGGCACAGTTTGATGCTGCAAATTCTTCACATCACTAAGAGAGACTATTAGCATGTAGCCATGCACTGACTGCCAATCCATGGGGTCAAACAACCAGCAGCTGCTGCAGCTACTTGGGGACATGTCCCCAAGCTGTCCTGGCTTGTAGATTATGTTTGACCATTTGACATGAGTCTTGAGCCAATTAGTGTTGTTGTGTGAGTGGAAGGGTGGAGTGGTACTGGTATTTAATATATCCTAAACTATTATCTTTGATGATCTTCTTTTAGAGCTCACATAATATGTGGTGGAGGAATATTTTGGTGGTAAAATCTAATAAGAACAATGGGCATGATGCATAACAGTTGACCTGACTTGACCTATGCGACCTACTAAAGTACTCAATCAAATTATTATTGAACATAATGCTAAATTCAAAATTATTACCCCAAAACACTCGAAAATTCACTTCTACCATTTCTAGGAGCTCCTGATTTTCCTACATTTGGGCCATTGGCCAGCTGACCTGGAGGTTCAATCATTGACCTAGGATTTTAAATCGGGTACCATTGACTTCCTCTTGTCAAGAGCAATACACTCGCTTTTAACCGCGAAGCTCTTGCTAGATTAGGGCTGTGAGAGTGCTAACTAATAGCTCTGCGTGTGTCCGCTAGGTGGCAGGCCGGTAGCGAGCATTTGACCGGTCACTGAGCCAATAAACAGTACGCGGCTAGACACGAGCGAGTGCGTTTGTGCAGACGGAGCGCGGACGAGTACGAGAGACTGAGCGAACTCACACAAGGGCCGAACAGCAGTGGAGAGGTCTGATACTCCTGCTTTATACATAAGCTGCTGTGAAAATGCCAGAATTCCGAATTCGTGACATTTTGCAAATGTTCGCACTAGTGAACTGTCACACATTTGATATACACCCTAGTAACTAGCATTCTTCCAAGAGCGGTAGTGGGCTGTGGGGGCAATGACCTCTATATAGGTATTATAGAGGTCAATGTGTGGGGGCGACAAGTAAAAAAAAACTCCGCACATTTTGCGTTTGGCGCATTTGCAATTTCGCGCGAACTCTGATGACCGCACGCAACTTCACAATTCACGCAGCTCACGGGCGGTACAGCGGTAGAATGGGTCGTACAAGTTCAGGTTGATCCCAACATGAAACACTGATGCACCGCCTTCATATCTCCGCGCCTTCGTCGGTAGTACAGGGATGGCAGTTTCAGCGCCTACAGTCTCTCAGTGTAGGGCAGGTGGCGCAGATCCGAGACCCTCTTGGTCGCCCGTCGCTGGACGCGTTCCGCGAGTCGTTCCACTAGTTTCGTATTACATTGGCCAGAGCTGCGGAGTTGACAGCATTTCGGTAAATCCTACTCCCTCATAACTTAGTGAAACGAATCACTTACATGCACTTCGTTGTCAACTTTACCATCTCTCATCCCTCGAGGGACTTTACTATCAGACTTCAGCACAGCTTCATTGCCAAATTCGCTATCTGCTATCTCCTAAGGAATAGCAGATCCCTTTTGCACCTTTGAACTTTGGACCTTTGAACTTTGACCTTTGAACTTTGGCGCTTCTCCGGAAAATGTGTTAACGATAACGATATCTGTGTTCCCGTTGTTCCAGAATCCAGGGGAACTGCCAATATATTAACCGCACCACCCGTTTTCCTTTGTGTTCTGGCGCATGCGCAGCGAAGTTGACCAGGACCGGCGGGGTTTTCAATTCAGTTTTCACGGAGCTGGTAACGGTGGACGGGTCGTTCGTATGACGCTGGGCACTGGGCAATCAAATGAACGTTAAATTCCGGTGGTAGGTAACTATACATTGATGATTACCTACAGTGACCCTGTCATCCTTCTTAAAGCATTCATTTGCATCACCTTGCCAAGGGACTTATGCTGTTATTCTGGCATGAACCTGTTGTGTCTTTGGATGTGTTTACACTAACCTCTTGATTACAGATATAAAATCATAAGTTAAAAAGAAGAAATCATTGGTGGTTTGGAGTATTTAGGGGAAGATGGCAGAGGGATGGACTAGCAATGTCCTTTGTAGGTAAGTTCATCTCCCACTTGTCGGGTGATCGCTGCTTGTGCCACCTCTGTATTTTTCCTCAATACTTCTTGCTTTGGCCGTGGAATCACAAAAGTTCAGAGTGCCGATATTTCTGTAAAATCAAATGTCATCGGGAACAAGTTTGGAGCTGGTGGTTTCGAGCTGGATTACCAGGCTCCACAATTCGCACCTAACAGACACCTGTATCGCTGACTTTCCCCAGGTACTTCATGCATGGCACGTGTAGGAACGGCACCGGGTGCTCCTACTCTCACGACGCCAACCTGGCGCGGCCCACGCTGCCGTGCAAGTTCTACCAGTGCGGCACGTGCGCCTACGGCAGCAAGTGCGACTACCTGCACGAGGACCCGGCGGCGGCGGCGCTGAGGACGGCCGACACCTCCGGTCAGCCGGCCCGGACGGCGCCGGCGGCCCCTGCCGGCCGCAGCGGGCGCGCTCAGAGCGGCCGCTCCGGCGGCGGCGGCTCGTCCAACAGAGGCCAGCAGAACAGGGCGGCCGAGGGGAGCGGACAGACGAACAGGAGTCAGACGACTGGGCGGGGGCAGGGCGGTAGAGGCGGGCAGGCGAGGCAGAGCGCCGCCGCCCAGACACCGGCGGCTGCGCCGGCTCCGGCTCCGGCTCCGGCAGTGTCAACCACAGCGACGACGGCGACGGAGAGTGTCAGGTGAGCGACGGTCCCTGTGGCGGGGTCCGAGATCGGCTTACCTTGCTGTGATGACTGTGGCCGCTCAGTTGTGTGCGGATAGCTTAGTGGCAGTGGTTAAGTGTTTTGTAACGAGTCATCTCGTGACTCGTGTTATGCCGTGTTATGTAAGTCATTAGAAGGCTAATGTTTCACGGTCTGTTGTGTGTAAATCCGCTCAGGGACTGGTTTTTGATATCATAGTGACTCTATGTTAGAAACGCCGTACAATTATATTTAGTCTGGTGCGTTGTATGGTTGATGTCACATGTCCACCCGTCCCTATGACTGACGAGCTTTGCCTCCGTGTACCGTACCACAGGCGGCCGATGAAGGATCTGAAGCTGTGTGACATGACGAGCGGAGCGCGCGTGCCCGTCAACTGGGCCGACGCGCCCGAGTTTGTGCCCGGCTCCGGACTGATGACTGCGCCCGGTAAGCAGAGCTGAGAGCATGCTCATAATGGGGCGTTTTAATATACTGGGTTAGTTTTGTGTGCTTAATGAATAGAGACATGATTTTACTGGAGAGACGGTCCCTGTCACTACGTGTAACCGCATGTCGAAATTCTAGCTTTCAAAAACATCGTGACATTAACAATTTGTAGCGGTATTTCGTCACTGTGCGGTTGCGTAACCTACTGATGGTGCGCCACCCTGGTTGTTTGCGCAACCGTCGCTGCGACCTTTACCTCAGGATACCTACCGTTTTCCTTGTCGATCACCTTATCGCAGATTATCGGCCCTCAGCTCTTCCCCTTGCCGTCATTCCCCTCGTTTTTGAGTTGACCTTTACCCCTTCAGAGTGCCGTTTTTCTTGTCAATCATTATGTCGCGTGGGTAGTATCGCCCATTGCCCCATAACTGCCACTGCCACCGACGCTACTTTTCCCTCCTTATCTGAATGGGTTCTTACTTGAGGGGCCGTGGTCTTGTCGATAAAATTACCGTATTTTGCTAACACCAACCAACAAAGGTCTCCCCCACCCCAGCTATTGGTGCATAATGACCTGTTTAGTGCGCGCTGAACTAGGGAAGCAGGTGACTGACCCGCCGATGAGCCGATGACCACCGCAGTACCGGGGTGAACAGAATCACAGTTCATCATTATCACTAACCCCAATTCCCAACAACATTCAGCCACCATCGCTCCTTACGTCATATAACGGCTTGAACCAATGTCTCCTGTTCTTTCCCAATTTATCCAAACCCGTCCGGCAACTCAACAATTGGCACACTGCTTCTTGTTACCGTCAACCGTCGTCTTTATATGGCGGTACAAACCACCGTTTCTTGCCCTTTCTTATATGACTGTTCGAGCCTCCGTACATATAAACCCTTCCCTATATGACGGCTAAAACCACCGCTCCTTATTCTACCCTGCTGATGGTTATAATCCAAACACCGTTCCCATCGTCCATGTTCACTTACCGTTAACCCTTCATTCGTGCATTCATTCATTCATTCATTCATTCATTCATCGTCACAACCGCTTTTGTCCCCGCAGAGCCGGAGGTGCGGTCGTACGCGGACGTAGCCCAGCCAGCGGAGAGCCGGCGGGACCCGAACGATCTGCAGCTGATCCCGCTCTGCCCCTATGCCGCCGTCGGAAAGTGCAGGTGAGCCCGCTGCGACACCGGCAACACTGTGGTCTGTCCGGTCTCTGCGGTCGGCAGCACAGCCCCGTGCGGGAGCTGGACTTGGTCTTGTGTGGGTTCAAGGCCGGGACAAATAGGAAATAAGGGGGCTGTTTGAAAGAGTAGCGGTAAATGAATGTTTCTCTTGCGCGAAAGGTTTAGTCTCTGGTTACTGATATTTTGGTCGATGTTTGTTACCTATTTTGCCAATGTGTAACAATCTGCAGCACGAAATCCATTGCCCTGACTCTTCCATACTGGTCCTTTCATCTCGCCTGTGGCGTCTCCAATTCCATCTCTCTGGCTAGTGGCCATCCCAACTCTGGTCTCACCCCACCACCCTAACCCTCGCTACATGGCTGTGGTCCCCATCTCCAACCCATGCCGTGCTTCCCCTTCTAACCGTCCCACCCACCCTGTCAAGCTAGGCAGCACTGTGCCTCCGTCGTCCCTCTGACAGCTATCACTCCCCGTCAGGTATGGCGAGCACTGCGCGCTGCTGCACCGACTTTACCCCTTTGACTGTGCTGTCCTCCCTTTGTCAGGTACGGCGAGCACTGCGCGCTGCTGCACCGACTCTACCCTTTGACTGTGCTGTCCTCTCTCTGTCAGGTACGGCGAGCACTGCGCGCTGCTGCACCGACTCTACCCTTTGACTGTGCTGCCCTCCCTCTGTCAGGTACGGCGAGCACTGCGCGCTGCACCTCTATCGCAGACCGTCCCCCCTCTGACCTACTCCGTCCTCCCTTTGTCAGGTACGGCGAGCACTGCGCGCTGCTGCACCGACTCTACCCTTTGACTGTGCTGTCCTCTCTCTGTCAGGTACGGCGAGCACTGCGCGCTGCTGGACCGACTTTACCCCTTTGACTGTGCTGTCCTCTCTCTGTCAGGTACGGCGAGCACTGCGCGCTGCTGGACCGACTTTACCCCTTTGACTGTGCTGTCCTCTCTCTGTCAGGTACGGCGAGCACTGCGCGCTGCTACACGGCGAGGTGTGCGAGTACTGTCAGTGCCAAGTACTGCATCCGTTCGATCCCGAACAGCAGCGTAAACACCGCGCCGAGTGTCTGAGCACCCACGAGCGCGACATGGAGCACTCGTTCCGCATGGCCAAGTCGATCGACAAGGCGTGCGGCATCTGCATGGAGGTCGTGGTCGAAAAGGTGGGTGGATCGGCAGGGAAGTGTTAGGGAGAAATGACGGACTCTTCAGAGGAGGGAGACAAACGTGGTGATATATCGCTTCCGATTGAGATGTACGGGCCACCTCACTCGTATGTACATTTCATTATCCGTGCCGTTTCTGCTATATCGTCGGAGGTTCACCATCGCCAGCCTTGTGTATTCTTACGAATATCAGTTTACAGAGTTCGTCCAACCGGTTCACAGTCATGTTGTAGCAATGCTCACCGCCCTCTGGTTCGCTGTGTTTAACTGACCTCTGTCGTCGCCATTGCAGAAGGAGCCGAACGCGCGTCGGTTCGGCATTCTGCCCAGTTGCAGCCACTGTTTCTGCGTGGCCTGTATTCGCCAGTGGCGCTCGTCCAGCCAGTTCGAGCCCAAAGTTACCAGGTAAAGTCGGGCGGTACACGCGCGTCGTGGGGTGATAAAAGTGGAGTGATCAGCGGGGTCAGTGGTGCTGTTTAAGGAGGGAGGGAGGAGTGTCAGATGACCTTGCGATTTCTTATTCTGTCGAAGATAGTTTTTAGCTCAGTGTTTTTTTTTTTAGCTTAACTTTTTAAGTTAAGCATGACTCACTTTTATTTAGGTTATCGTATAAATGGCAGACGAAATAATTAGCGAATATCGCGAAGTCGCCGGTTGTGTCATTTCGCTATCGACATCTTTCAGCTTCTAGATCGTGCTCCTCCCTTTTCGTCCTTATCATTCTCGTATGTTGACGATGTGTGGTCACCTGCGCAGGGGCTGCCCCGAGTGTCGCGTGCACAGCGACTTCATCTGTCCGAGCCGATACTGGGTGGACGAGTCCGAGGAGAAGAATAAACTCATCGAGGACTACATCGCATCCTGCAGGTGAATATATCACGGCTGAGGGTTTGGATAGCCCACTCACTCAACGTGCATTACACTGACGCATGCTAACTGTGAAGTGATGATACACTCATGAATCGATACACACCAGCCAGGGTGATAGAGTGGTCAGACTAGACTGTCATAATGCAAACACGGTAGGTCGCGGGGTGGCGGGGATGCTCAGAAGACACTCGTAGACACAGAGACTCTTCTCATGATGTGCCACAGCTGGAAACTATAGAGCTTATATAGGTATCATCACCATGTTTAACCCTATTAGTGGCAGGGGGGGTTGTTTTTTATCCACCCCTCAGGGTTTTCGGGAATATCTCCGAAACCGCTGAAGCTACGATGCTGAAATTTTCTGACTTTTCCTAAAACTAAATTGGGCACATTCCCTGAAAAGTTCAAGTTCATAACTTTACCAGGGGCGGCTCCAGAGCACTGGGAATTGGGGGGTCCTATTCGAGAAGCGACTCATTTGGGCGAAGATCACGATGCTGCACCAGTTTTACGAACAGTGAATGAAAGGTATCATGTGATAACATATACAAAGTTATTGTGCATCCTCTTTTGACACGTTTTGGCTATAATAGGCGGATCCAGGCGTCCAAAAAGGGGGTTATTTTTTACCTCCCAACATAGGTGCCCTGACACCGCCTATGCATGACCAATACAATTTTAGTCGTTCTCTCATAAGAAAATTGTAACATAACAAGACCATTGCCACCCTTTTTAGAAACAGTACCAACAAAAACCTTATTTACTATACTTTTTGTGTACCCCCAATCTCAATGATCTGTATCCGCCTATGATTTTTGAAAATGCATATTTTTAGGATCCATGTGAATTCCTGGTTCATTCTCTATCGATCGGCAAAAGTTGCGTTAAGATTGGTTCAGAAACCTGGCCGTGATAAACAGTCTAAAATGTATCTGCAATTTGCCCGTTTTTACCCCCCTCTACCCCCCTATTGACATTTTTTTAGAAATGTAGATCTCGTTCAGCGAAATCGAATGCCGTTTGAATTTTGAAAATCGGCCCGTTAGATCTCGAGATATCAAGGGGGGGGGGGGGTCGTAAACAGCCCCCCCCCCCTCCCTGCCACTAATAGGGGTAGCCAGGAGCCTGCCACTAATAGGGTTAACTGCTGTTGTGATAACGTGCACTCTTTATTCAAAGTGTTGTTGAATTAGCCGGTCTGCTCTTAGTTTTCACTTTTGTTCGGGTGATACTGTCTCAACACCGACAATTTTCACTAAAACTGTGCCTGCCATTTACCCCACATCTCTCCCCCTCTCGTCGTCAGCAACAAGCCTTGCAAGCACTTCAACGAGGGCCGCGGCGAGTGTCCCTTCGGGAACAAGTGTTTCTACCGGCACACGTACCCGGACGGTCGGAAGGCAGAGCTGGGCCCGCCGCGCCGCCGGCGGCGTCAGAATCAGTTCATCGAGACGGAGCTCATGTCGGTACGTGTACGTGCGCCGCGCGCCTACCTCCGCCAGCTGCAGCGCGACCGCGACTGCTGAGCTGGGGAAGGGTTACTGGAGGGGACTAGATGTGTGATCTCATTATATACCAAATGTATCGCAGCTATCGAAGCATTTATTGTAACTACGGGTGATCTCAGGGTAAAAAAGGAAAGAAAAAGACTTATATGGCTGGCGTTTGCGGCCAGACTAACGTTCGCTCTTTTCCATTGTACTGAGCGGGTTTTAGTCATTATGCATTCACACTTATTAAGCATAACCAAATACAAATTACCTTTCATGCGACTTTTTTGATTGACGAATGTCTTGAATTATAGATGAAGCTAGGATAGGCCCAACTCACGGGTTGCTGCTCGCTACGTCAGCGCACTGCCGTCGATTCACCCAGCTTATAGTTTCCATTTCCTGTCCTCTCCTTATTCCTGGACGACTGGTCTGACGGGTGCCTCGGCTGTCGCCAGGACGTCATGCTCTCCGACTTCCTCTCGGACGAGATGCGAGCAATGGACGACGAGCTGGCCGAAGAGGCGATCCGTCTGAACCTGATGATCATCCAGGCGGACATGATGGACCTCATGTTCCCGTCCGACTCTGAGGATGAGTGACGCCGCCAGCCGGAGCGCCCAGCGAAACGTCTTTCTGTTGCGCCGCCTGCCGCTGCTGCCTGCTCTCTCACACACACTCACCCTACCTCTGCGCGGTCCGGCGGTCCGCCGGCGCGGCGGTGCCCGGTCGGGAGGACCTCTGTGCTGCCGCTGCTGGGGCCAGGCAGTCGTCACCTTACCGTCTCTGGTCGCCACTGCGGTGACTCTCAGCCACCGGCGGGCCGCGGATTGCTGCTGTCGGCTCTCACTGTCCTCTGGCGCAGGTCAGCCCTCGGGTTCGTCCGTCGTCCGCCTCCTACCAGTGACTCTTGGATGGAGACCCAGTGAGGGTGACTGTATAACGGAACCCGCCACTAACGCCACCGGAAGGCTGCGGAAACAAATTCGGTGTGCCGTTCGGGTGCCTAGCGGCAGTGTTCGAGTTCGTGCGCGGTTTACACGAGTAAACTAAGCTCAGATGGTAACCGACATAAGAACACGTCAGCCGCTGTTCACGATCCTAATAGCCAATCAATCCGTAGAATGTGACAGCATTCGTCTCGGCAAAATGATTCTGTTTTGATTTTAATTTTAGTTTAGTCAGTTTCACTAATCAGCGTATAAATCAATGCTGATCTGTCTGTTTTAGCGTCCGTTCTTTCAGTAAGAGCTTTGTTCCTGGCATGGATGGATGGAGGGTGCTGCGTCTGGGTAGAGTGATTGAGTAGTTGGGCAGAGGGTGGGAGGATGGCCCTGCGGCGGACGATAGAGGTCTAATTGCGCCTGCCTGCGTGTGAGCTGACCGCCCGTCGCGGTGCGCAGTAGCTGTAGCTCTCATTACTTAGACGTCGTAGGAGCGTGCCGCGTGTTTTTACCTTCCTGCGCACACTGTGCGCCTATCATGTTCTCTGTCTCCTTCAACTCGTTCGTTCTTTCGGCGACAAAATGCCGCCCGTAGTCTCTGTGATTGTACCGCAGGAGTTAGCGCGCGCGCCCGGCCTTGCGAGCCGCGGACTCCGTAGCTCATCATAATCTAGCTCACATTATTCCAGTATTGGGCTCTTGATGCAATACCCCAGCTATGTGGCGGCCGTTGCGGCTGCCTCTCCGTATGTGCTAGCGTGTGTGTGTTGCGGGCAGTTGATCGGCAGAGTACCTTTCTGGCGGACGGGAGGGGGGTGGCAGCGGGCCGGCTCTGTGGGCCCTGCACATGGCGCGTGTACATAGCGCTGCTGTGAGACATTCAGTCCAGATCAAAACGTGCGAGTGTGGCGCCGTGCCGGCTGTAGTGGCGCCCCGGTCGGCGCTGAGCTGTACTCGTCAAATCCGCGCACTCACCACGACCTCTGTACGGCGGTCCATAACCGGCTTACCGTGGGGCAGCTCCCGACTCGCGCTTCAGTGCCTCTGTTCAATGTGATCGGCGTAGTCAGCGGCCGGCGTTTTAACCTGCGTTTAGTCCGTCCGTGCCGGCGGGCCGATCGGTGACGGGGTCGGCTGCAGTCCAAGGTGCGCCCTACTAGTTTGCGCCCGCCCGGCCCACACGAGATTTTAGTCCAGCGGTGCTGATTAGAGAGTGAGAGGCCAGTACGGGCCAGCCGGCAGTCCTCTGATTCCTGCACGTGTCATCATAAAAACAATGGTCCGTTTGGAACTGTTTTTTGGGCCTGTAACAGTGTCGATTAAAGAAACATGTCAACACAACCCGCTTTATATCGACTGATCGCTTAATGTCATTAGTCGCTTATCAGTAGAGCTTCGGATTATGCTGTATCTGGCTTTTCTGGTAGTGCTATTTTATGTCATATACGCCTTAAGTTTTAAGTTTACTGTCTAAACTATTTGGCTGGGGTTTTCAAAGCAACGCGATACAACTTCAATGAAAATTCACGTTTGGGTGACGTTGGTGTCTGGTAGAAGGGTTTCGGCGAGAGGAAGTTGGTACGGTCTGAAGCGATGCCATAGTGACATATCCCTCGTAGCGCACATTTGGCCTCGTCAGGCTCCGTTGACCTGTTGTGATTTCCGTCGTCGACAGTTGTGTCGAGTTCGACCTGATATGCATTGTGTCGCTTTGAGTTAACCGATGGTCTCAGAATACACAACCGATCCAAAGTAACCGGACGACGTTTCTAGCTAACTGCATTGAGGCTGGCAGTGACTGCAGAGTGCAGAGTTTCTATGTCACTGAGGATTAGAGTTACGCACCTCAATTCGACCTATTGAGTCGAGTTTGTAGGGATACGCACTACGGCGTGGTTTCAGGTATTTTGCCGCGATTTCAGAGATCAATACCACGTCTGAGATGGAAAATGTTTGAGGATCTGAGACACAGCAATAGCATTAACCCGGCGGCCGCTGGGCCTCCGCGCCACCCGCCGGCCGCTGGGGGGGGGGGGGGGCATATAGTTGCCCCCCCCCCCCTTTACTTCTGCGACGATATCGTCGCAACGCGAAGAGATAGAGAAGCGAAACTTTGCACACATCTTCCTGAATACCTAGCCGAGGTTGTGTCCAAATTTGGTGTCGATCCGATTTGAAATGACGTCACAGTGACGTCATAAGTGAAATTATAGATTTGCGACTCTCATATTCCTCACGATACATCAGATATATGGGACCGAATATAAAGGGCCGATTATTGGTCAGAAACTAGATGGAAGTGTAGTTAGATGTTTTAGGATGACAGCAGGTGCTGTCTAGTTCATTTACAGTCGAGTATCATGCTCAGCGTCATCAGAAACGGCCCATATCGGAAAATGACAAAACTTTATGACGTCACTGTGACGTCATCTTAGGTGCTACAACCACAAAACTTTCCTCAAACATTGCCTAGGTATTCATTTGAAGCTATGCCAAGTTTCACGTTCGTAGCTCATCAGGTTTCGGAGATATTTCACAAAACGTAAAGGGGGGGCAACTTTATGCCCCCCCCCCCCAGCGGCTCGTGGGTTAATCTGTAGGCTCGTTGCCGAGGACCGGTTGAAGCGGAACAGGGCAGTCTACGATCTACGAAGATTTAACCCGCGCTCCGTAGGAGGGGGGGGGGGGCGAAACGGCCCTCTGTCCTTTTCCGTCGATATCTCCTAAACGGCTGCAGATTTCGCCACCAAACTTTCAGGACCCATCTGGGCATTAATTTTACACATTGTGACCAAAAATTTTCCATAGGCTATGATAGGTTGGTCACACATGACGTCAAAATGACGTCATGTTCTGCCATTTCCGACCGAAAAGAGCTTCGCGAGAAAAGCTGTCAGGCCTACAGCTTTGAAGATACAGAAAAATGATCAAACATAAAAGGTGCAGAATTGACAGGAATGCAAAACTACTATCTCGGATTTTTTAAATTATTGGATTTTGACCCCCAAAAATAAAAAAGTATTTCTTATATATTAGCCAAAAAACGCAAAAAGTTTTTGAGTTTCGAAAGAAACGGAATATATACCCAGTAAACATGCCGACGTCGGCCCGACATCGGCCGACGTCGGGGTGACGTCGGCAACTCGGCATCATAATGCCGACGTCGGTCCGACGTCGGTCCAACCTCGGCACGACGTCGGCTGGATGTCGGATATGCCCGCATGTTCCGACGTCCAGCCGAGGTCCAGCCGACGTCGGGGCGACGTCGGACCGACATCGGCCGCTGTTTTGACCGTTAAAATAATATAAAATATATGTTTCATGTTTCATAAAGAGTTTCTGTATCCAAAATATCCTCAGGAAACTCAAATCTTCCTCCCCGCCGCAACCCCCTGATCCGGACTGGACGGGAAACTTTATCCCATTTGGGATTGGCCGTAAGCCGAGCTCACCCGTAGCCGGGTGCGGTGAGTGCTTGGGGGCTGCTCGGCCTATCCTTTGGTCAGGCTCGGCCCCGGCAACTCACCAGGGCCGGGCCCAGTTCATATAGAAAGGCCAGTCGGCAAGTGTCACTTTGCCAAAGTGCCACAATCATCAAAGGGACACTTTGGGAAACGTTGGTGCAGGTGTGTAAGAGTGGCTATATGAATCCATTGTGGGGTCGCCCTTTCCAATAAGTGTCACGTAACAGCAATGGGACCAGGGACTCTATATGAACTGGACCCAGGGTGCTCGCCAAGAAGACCAGGCAATGTCTCCATCCATACTCCATCCTATGATCCTTCCGGCTCTGAAATAGTCTTGTCAGACCGAAAGGGCATAACCCAACAAAACAAACCAGGGGCATTCCACGTCAAATCAAACACCGAAATCCGTCATCCCCTTCGATTTTTCTGAAAATTTGTAGGCAGACTGGGCATGGTTCAAAATTGAGTTACGTATAATATTTTCGAAATTTGATAAAGTATCGCTGAGATATAGGTCATCGAATATAGCCCAAAATGTCACACATCAATTTTTTAAATGTCTATAACTCTGGTTCCTTTTCTGGTATCAAAATGATATTAACAGGGTCTTGTAGGCAATTGATAAGGCTTTGATTTTTAATTATAAAATTAAATTGAAGTGACCTTGAAATGCATTTGACCTTGAATTAAAACAGAAAAATTTAAATAGCAAAAAACACGTCACCTTGGGTTTGGATAATTTTTACATATTATGTCAGTCACAATGTTCCTAACCATCTGTGAAAAAAATGGAGTGGGCCATTCATAACTCTCGCGGCAAACGCCGTTTTCATGCATCAACATCACGCAACCGCGCGTGACCTTGAAAGACAGAGTCAAGACATGCTTGCTTGTGTACGCTTTCTGAAACGAATGATTGCTGATTAATTAGTGATATCCCAAACTCTGTGAGAATGGAAATACATAGTCATCGTAGTCAAGCATTCAAGTTCCTTAGTAAAAGTGTCTCAGGCAAACGGTATTTTGCGGTGAATTTTGAGCCGTGTGGAAATGCATCATGAAGCCAAAAATTCAACGAAAACATTAACACGCAACGATATCTTCACGTCTTTTTGTCTTCACTATACGAAAGAATATACATTTTTGAGCATGTATGGGGAATTTCTAGTTAATCCAATAATAAATATGGCAGTTAGAGACCTGCTAAGAGTAACATGTCGTCGGCTGAGGCGGGATCGGCCGACGCGGGAAACAAAGCAATCACAATTTTGTGTTTATACGTTCATATTTCAATTGTTTACCAACTGATTTTCAAAATCCTTACACCATAAGATTGCCTGTACATTTTTTAGTCTTCTCACAAAATTTGACGCGAATCGAACGTAATCAGCGGTAAGGAGCGCCAGCGCGATGTAAAGACGGAACATGAGCGCCATTATTGTCCTGAGGCCCCCTTATGATGTCATCAAAAGTGGAGTGACATGGGCCTGGACGGAACCGTTCCGTTCCGTCCCGGCACAGTCTACAATTCAGGCGGCGGCTAGCGGTCGGCGCCGGCTGCCGAGTCGCCGCGTCGCCGCGGCGACAGGATGTTCACTTTACACCGCTATTACCAGGGGTGTCGTTTTCCGAAAATGATTGGTAGTGCCCAAAGGCGGCGGCTGGCCATATATGACGGGACTTACAAGGTAGGGTACCCCCAAATCTGCCTTTCTCATCGGATTTCGGCCACTTATTTTTCGCCCTGGTCATTGACAAGACTAACCGAAATCTAAAAAAACACAAAAAAAAACTTTGGAAATCTGGGTCCACACCGGACGCCATGCACAAAACGTGCAGTTATATAGGCAATAGTATCGGAGGAATGCACGCCATTCTGAAAGAGGCCCACATCGACTTAAAAGGACGGCTGTGCTGAAAGGGGACAGGAACAGCTTTGAGGGCCCAAGCCGACTAAAAAAGACGGCTGCGGGGCCAGGAACGGTTTTGAAGACCCACGCCAATTGAAGGGTTCGACAACTAACGAGGACTGGAAACACAGCGATAGTTAGAAAGACCTGCTTGCCAAAATAAAAGGATGACAGTACGAGGGGCGTTCAGAAAGCTACGGGCCCGACCATGAAGGAGCAGAGAGATACAGCATCGACTCATTAGACCAAAAAGTTCATTTATTCAAATAAACACCGTTAACCCTCGCCGGACCTATTGGTTTTCTACATACGCGCCGGCCGAGGGGGGGGGGGGGGCGGGTACGACCCCCCCTCGCCGTTTCGCCCCTGGTGGAGCTAGCGCGTCGCGAAAAAAACGAGCGTGTGCGCCGTTACGAGACGCAGAGATTGGTACCCGATTTTAAGGTCCTAGGTCAACCGGTGACCTCTGAGGTCAGGTCAAGTGCCCCAAGGTACGGTTCAGTTTTTGGTGAATAACTTCGCAAAAAACGGCCGCAGAGCGCCGATTTTGGCAGCATCGTGTTCGTCTCGCTCAGGCGCGTCGAATGATATACTTTTTGTCCGGGTCAGGTCAACTTGGGGTGTTGACCTCAGGTCAAGGTCAGGTCAGCACCCCCAGGTCACGAAGTTGGTCGAAAGGGGTCATGTCGCATATCATTCGATTCGGCAGGTCTTCCTGAGTCCATTGGTGGCTTTCCCGGCTCGCTAGCTCAATTTGATCAAGAGTTATTGACGAAAAACTAATATGACCTTGATGACGTCATAAATGACGTCACGCAAGGTCAACATTATATATTTGTATTTGTATTTGTATTTGACAGTTAAAACACTCTCCACAGTAAAGTGGCTATTCCGAGTGTCGCGTCACGGTTAAAAGGAAAAACAAGTTAAGATACACTCATCAATCACATCAAACAGAACACAATTCAAATCACACATTCATCCTTAAACACGCAGATACAACTCGGAAACAGAGCGTTTAAAAGCTCCCAGAGGGAGATGTCTAATGTCATGGGGCAGACGGTTGTACAACTGGGCTATGCTGTAGAGCAGGCGCCGCCTCCCTGCTTCGGTTCTCACGCGTGGGAGAGACAGATCAGTGTCCCGCCGGGTTGAGCGTGAGCGAAGGGAAGAGTTGGCCAGGATTTGGGAGAACATAGTATCCGGCTCTTCGGTGCAGCGTATTTTGTGGAGGAAGTTAAGAGAGTGGATTTCGTACAACTGACGGGCGGTAGGCCAGCCCAGTTCCTCTCGCACGTCCGATATGTGGTCAAATTTTCTTCGGCCGGACACAACGCGCAGCGCAAAATTGAGAACTTTTTGGAGGCGTTGTGTGTTTT